CGACGCTGCAATATCCATCTGGCGCAAAGCCTACAAAATTCTATAATTGTGAATATTTTTACCTGATTTGCCAAGGAACCATGAACCGGTGGGGTGGCAAAAAACTTCATGTCCGGGCAGAGATTGTACCTTCCACCTTTGCACTGCTGGCACCGTGCGCAGCTGATCCCGGGCTCTACCGCCACACGATCTCCGAGAGCAAGATGCTTCACATCGCCCCCGATTTCCTCAACGATCCCAGCACACTCATGGCCAATTACCATTGGCTCTTTAACTTCAAAATCTGCACATTTCATTGTCTGAAAAATGAACCCAAACAAAAAAAAGAGAAAACCTAAGTGGTTAGTACGGAGCTGTCGGATATAACAGAGAAAATTATCAATGTTTCTGCTTTGATTTCATTCTTATTTCAGGAATGAACAATGTCATCTAAAATCATCAAAAATTCAAAATTAAAAAAAAATAAAATTATTAAAAACAGGGGAAAGGGCATTGAAGGGAGATGAACCTTGAAGTAGTGAACATCACTTCCACAAATGCCGACAGCCTTGACCCGAACGCGAACATCATTGGGCCCTAAAGTTAAGAAATACAAGAAAATGGAGCAAGATGTAACCCAATATGATCATAAATATCTCGTCTGAAAACTAAAAACCGAAAGGAAACTGCAACGAAATAAAAAGATTTAGGGTTGGTGCAGACCCACACTGGGAAGCTTGAAAGGTTGGATCTTGATATTGTTAACACCAAGAAGCCAAGCACCCATGTTTTCTGGCTCAGCAGCTTTGCCTCCCTTACCCATTTTTTTGCTTGCTTTTTTTTTTTTTTTTTCCGTGTGTTTGAAATACAGTGAGTAGGTTTGCACCCAAAATAAAAGAAGGCAGACACGGAGTAGGTTTCTTTTCTGATGGGAACAGAGCGGTTCTTGGTGTAATATTTATACTTAGGGTTGAAAGCCAGTGGGCATATGGAATTATAAAATTAAGATTTGGTCCAAGTTGCAATATATAGATTATAAAATCATTTATGGTGAAATCTAATATGCATATATTTATATATTTATATCCACTATCGAGAATAATCCAAAACGAAAGTATTAACTGTATTATGGTCCGTTACCATCACACTTTTTTCCATCCTTTTCTAGGGATTGGAATTTTCATGGTGATTGGGATCTTGAAGCCTAATTTCTCCCGCCTTTGATATGAAAAGAACTTACTTGTAATTGAGATGTCAAAAATTACATGATAGCAGGATATAAACTTGATATAACACTATATTTGTGACTTTGAAAGTTGCCGAAATTAGGTATATATTAAAAGTTAGATCCCTCACGGATAGGAAACTGTTATTGTACTCCAAAAATTTTATATTCCTTGCAAGTATATTTTTTAATATAAAAAAAATTTAAAGTGCAAAATAAAAATTTTGAAACGCTAATAAATTTTAGAGTGTAGATAACAATTTATAGATTTTATGGTTTTCCCAAATTTAATACCACCATGTGTTAGACTGTTACATCATACTTTTGCATATATCCCTCATTTATGGGCAATGGAATTTTGGAAGCCTATTTTCCTACACCTCAAATACAAGAAATTTTGAGTATTACAGTCACGATGTTATTTATAACAAAGTGCTATCTAGACACACATTTGGCTTAACTTTGTACTGTCGGATCGAATGAATTGAAAAAGATCAATAAATAAAAATTAATAAGGGTGTATAAGAGGTAAACTACACCTCAAATCAAATAAATTTTGAGTATTACAGTCACGATATTATTTATAAGGTAGTGTTATCCACACACACATTTTTACTTCTCACACACCTAACTTAACTTTGTATCGTCGGATCGAATAAAGTAAAGAAAATCAATGACTAAAAATTAATAAGAGTGTACATGAGGTAAAAGTGTGTGAATAACATTATCCTAAACCCTAATACACATGTTATAACATGACGATACGAATGGAACAATTACTACACGGTGTTACAGTTATACAGAAAAATTTCTCATAAATACCATTAAGTAGTAATTAATTTTTCAACGGTACATAAATATGGGTATAAAATTATTCCTGATTGGAAGTAACTGAATTAGCAAGTACCGTAAGGATGCATGATTTTCCTCAACGGATATTCATTACTGGTGAGTGTATTCCACGAAATGCACAGTCAGATTCACGTAAGCAGACTTCCGTATTATCCTGCATGTTGTCCCCACAGAGAACTTAATTTTGATTAGTAATGGATTTAATTTTGATTAGTAATATCTTTGAAAGATGATTTAGATGATGTAACCAAAACGAGAAACATTTGAAGTAAGAGGTATTGTTGATTTACCTCTCGAACTTGTATAAAACTATTAATTTTCTCTTGAATTTTAATTTTAACCGATTATATGCGTGATCAAGATAGATGAAATTTTTTAAAATCTAATTGTCAGGGGAAATTGACTATATATAAAAGTTCAGATGGATAATCGGATAAAATTAATGTTCAAGAAAAAATTAGCTAATTATGGAGATAATCAGCTAAAATTAAATTTAAAGAAAAAATTAGCAGCTCCATACAAAATCAGGGAGTAAATCAACAAGTATGCCTTTAAAGTAATTACCTCAAATATGAGATCAGTTTTTTAATACATGTGGATCATTTTCTTTGTGAGTAGATATGAGATCATTCAATCAGGATATAATCATCTTATTAATTTTTCTACCAAAGAAGGATAGTTTTATGGATTAAATAATTTGGTTATCCACAATTTAGCCAATGAGATAAACATGCTGATTCACCAATCAATCAAAAGATAATTGTAGGAAATCAAATACATGATTTTTCTTTAACCCCACATTTGAATATTTCACCTAATTTGACGTAATTATCCTATAATCCTGATTTTTCTTTAACTAGTGCAAGTTTCACCAAATTATCCAATATCAACTCTTTAATTACAAGCAAGAAATTTGTTTTTCTTCTTTTCATTAAGATCCAAGTCCAAATTATGTCCAGTCCGTCGCTAAGCTAATCACGTCGCCCATCGCCTTGCTTCTGCGGGATTAGGGTGTGCCATGGAGAAGACTTGGTGCATTGGACTTAATCTTGGATGCAATATATAGTTCTTACTTGATTGTATTTTTGGAGGATAGTTCGTTTCTTTATTTTTTTGTGGGACATTTTTTTTCCTTTCGTCCGGGTTGAAATTTCCATTAAAGTTTTTATCGAGACCTATTATGGGCCCCTATCCTCGTAGATTGTACGTTGTTTCTTATTCAATTAATATCGTACATTTTCTCAAAAAAATTGATGGGCTTACCAGGCTTATAGGAGGAGTTCCCTAGCTACTGTTAAAAACTTACCTACACTAGCTGAAATGAGACCGATTTAGTAGCGTTACAAACAGACAAACTTAACATGAGAATGCTCTTGCATGATTAAATTGAAATACAATCACGTTCTTTGTTATAAATCTTCTCTCCGAAAGGTCACGTGTTTCCGTTTTCGTACAAGTTATTGAGGACCACACGAGCTCTCTGTTGTCGGGCTAGGTTTTGTGGCACGCCTCGGGCTGACTAACTTCCACGTGAATAATATATGGGATGATATTTTGCGACCATTGAATCACACAAACCTACCAACACGATGGTCCATGAACCATTTGCAGATTTAAAATGTGCAACTATCTGCAGAAAGGTCATAGTACGGTCAATATTTGGATTCCAGAAAGAGAAATGCTAAGAATGCTCTTTCTCTTCATGTATTCTCTCTCATTTCACAATTTCAAGTTAATTTTTATGTTAATATTATGAAATATTATACCAAAAATATGAATTGACAAAAAATTCATAAAAAAATTATTTTTAAAAATATCTTTTTAGCATTTCTCTTCCATAACAATAAGGGAAAATGTATGACACGCAAGTGTCTAGTCAGATACGAGTCGGCGCCAACTGTCTCTCGTGATGCCAAACCCTAAATCATATTATTTCAAGGGAGATGCCCTATTGTGCGTGGAACCAAAGGATGCATGCTTATGAGATAATGCTCGTTTTATTCCCTTTTTTTAATGATGTAAGCTTCATTAGTCAAATATGTTTAATGATAAAAATTGAGTCTGCAACCTAGGGATTTGAATCCACTCCGATCTCTATGTCCAGCACTTAGGATTGAAAAATTCAAATCGTTCAAGAGAGAAAAAGAAATTTAACAGTAAAATTTAAATTGTTTAAATTTAAATTTTTGTTAAGTGAGTTAATAAGATGAACTCATATGAAACGTAAAATTGAAATTGAATGCTCCGAATTTTTTGATCTACATACCTCGGACACAGGGGTCTGTAGTGGGTTGAATGGCCTCTGAACCATATGCGTGGAATATGCTACTCCTACTATATGGTATAATAAATAGTCGGTGTGACATATATAGTTGGTTTATTTTTTAACGATTTATTCGAGGTCTATTGGTTGTTTAACTTGGTATTTACTTCTTCTTCTTTTTTTCCCTTTTTTTTTTTTTTTTTTTTTTCAAAAAACAACTTGGTATTTAGTTTCTACGGGCACAAGAGTCGGGCGCTTCTTGTGTTGTGCTGTGTTGTGTTTGTCTGACTTGTGCACATGCAGGAAGACGTCACCATGATATATATGGTCTGTCCGAATTCCTAATTTCTTAATACGATAGGAAGTACGTTAGATTTCTGAATTATAATTAATAAATCATGGTCATCGTAGTTTTGTGATATGAAATGGACATTGACTTGTAAAAAATGAAAAGAATACAAGGCATAAGGGTGAAGAAAGATGAGTGTATACGACAAGCCGTATGCGTTGAAATTTTTTTGTGTACATACTATATATTGGTTGTCAGTAAGGCTAACTTATTTATCAATTTTTCTTCTATTACCATGTTATCAATTTACGTATTATAATATGGATGTATAGACATAAGCGAACACGCACTAATGAATATCACATGTGAAGGGTCCTTCACACGTCGTATGCTGTCAGTCAATCTTGTCGTTCTGCATAACTGCTACTGTTCTGTAGCCGAGATCTTATGAAGGTATAACTAGAACACAATGGTTTCTCTGCACTTCGTGCCTCTCCATCGTAAAGCCACATTTTTCACTTGAAATCAAACTTCCAACTTTCCAAACCCTCACTACTTTGTCCTCTCAGGAATCAGATCGAAATTCGAAAACACTGCAACTTTTTAGAGATAAACCTCAATTGCAATATATCTCTTCCAAGAGTAGCTGTGTCAATGCGATGTTGAGCAGATAAGCGATTGCTAATGCTCATATGCAATCAAGTGAGTCCCAAATTCTGAGAGTTCGAAAATATGCCGTCTATTTCGATGGCACTACGACCAAATGGCTTTTGCACTTTGCTCTCACCCATCAATTCTCTCATTCTCATAGCATCATCCCATCTATCCGAACCTGCATAAGTACTCGATGAGAGAATGTAATTCCCACTGTTAGAAGGATCCAGTTCAACAAGCTTGGCTGTGACACTCTCAGCTAGGGACACATTTCCATGAACCTTGCAAGCACTCAGCAATATCCTCCATACTACAACATTTGGAACAACGGGCATATTTTGTATGAACTCATAAGCCTTCTCTAGTTTTCCAGACCGGCTCAAAAGATCCACAACACATCCGTAGTGTTTCATTTCTGGCATCAGTCCATGAATCTTTTCCATGCTTTCTAAATATTCCAATCCTTTCTCTACCAAACCCGCATGAGCGCAAGCTAACAAAATCCCAACAAATGTTCCATGAGTTGGTCGAACACCTTCTCTCAGCATCCGCGAGAAGAATTCGAGTGCAGAATCTGCAAAACCGTTCACAGCAAGGCCTGAAATTACTGAAGTCCATGACACAGCGTCTTTCTTTTCCATCCATTGGAACACCTCCATTGCCTTCTCAACCATCCCACATTTGCAATACATATCTATCAAAGTATTTCCTACATAACTATCTGTTTTCACTCCATGCTTCTTTATGTAGTCGTGGACAGCCTCTCCCACATCAAGTGAACCCACACGGGCACAAGCAGAAAGCACACTAGCAATGGTTATTTCATCCGGTCTCACATCAGCTGCCATCATTTCTTGAAAAAGACTCACTGCCTCAGTATGTTGATTAGCTTGAGAGTAACAAGTGATCATGGAAGTCCAAGACACCACATTTCTCTTCGGCATCTCATTGAAAAGCTTTCTTGCATTAACCAAGTTTCCCACTTTTGCATATCCCGTGATCATGGCATTCCACGAAACTATATTTCTTTCATGCATCCGATCAAATACTTCCCAAGCCAAATTCGCCAAACCACGCCGTCCATACATATCTATCATAGTGTTCCCCAAGTAAACATCAATCCTAACATGATTTTCTTCAATATACTGAACCACAGAATCAGCAAACTCCCATTCACCCAAGTAATTACACGCCAAAATAACTTTCACCATCGTCACCGCATCAGCCGTCACATTCCCTGCCCTCATTGCCTTAAACAGATCCAAAACCTCCTTAAACCTATTGCACTGACTATATCCACATATCAGAGAATTCCAAGAGACCAAATCTCTCTGACACATTCCGTCAAACAGTTTCTGCGCAAAGCCCAGACCACCAGAATACGCATACATTAAAATTAATGCATTGGATACAAAAAGATACGACTCGAACCCAAGTTTGACCGCATGTCCATGGACCCTTTTCCCATTTCCAATATCAGAAGCTCGACCACAAGCCTTGAAAACGAATATAAAAGTCACATGATTCCCGGCCAATCCTTGAAGGTACATACGATTATACATGTGAATTGCTTCACCTGGTTTCTCACTCTGTGATAATCCACGGATCATATGATTCCAAACCAAAAATGTGGGTCGCTCTATTTGATCGAAGACTAAATGGGCTTTGCTTAAATACGGCGGAGATAGCGCGTAAACTCTGGCAACCTCGGCGATGGAAGATGATGGGTCTTTTTGGAGGTGGGTTCTGATAAGGTGTGCATGAAGCTCTTTGATTGAGCTCAAGGTGATTGGTCCGGCAGCCACCCGCTCTGATTTTTGAACCACCGTGGAGGTGGTGAAGTGGCGCGTAATGGGTCTCGCGAGTTTCATGAGTGACGCCGTTGGTTTTGGTTAAATTTGAATCGGATTTGAGGCAGAAAGTCGAAGTTGTTCATCGACTTTGCCGCCACCGCCAGTAGTGTTTCCATCTTGTTTAAACTTGGGCTTAATATATTGAATGGTTAACCATTAATTAAAACATTTAACCCATTGCCTGACTCACGGCATAAGCCCTTGTTGGGGTCCAAACTTGGCCCATCAAGATCCCCTAATATAAATCATGGGCTAGACTTGCTTGTTTACATTCCATGGTGTCCATGGACGTCTCTGCTGCCATCAAGTCAATATGTTTTTTAAACCATTGTAATCTAAAAATTGTACGTACATGTTATCAATATAATCTCTACGATGTTTATTGTTTTAATAAAAAACGCGTAACCAAAAGTATCATAATACATGTCTATTGATAGAAGTGTGATGGTGGTGCCCTTATGGTGAAGGAAGAAATAAAAGAATTATGTCAAACTTAACTGTAGAAAATAAATTATTCGTTAAAGAAATTAATGCATTATAATCTCCTCAAAATTATAAACACGAAATTTAGGCGGCCACAACGGTGGAAATTAGACACTAATTGGAAAGTTGTGTCATACTGTCGTGGAAAATGGATATGAATAGTCTCAAGATGTCACTTCACAATATTGTTTTAGTGCTCAAATGTGGTTGAAATAGGTTTGGAGGATAATTGACAGTAGGACTATGGCCATCAGTTGAGATCAGTGACTCTTAAATATGTTTATATTGCTTGCCATCACTTTAATTCATTGCAATTGGATATCTATGTCATGTTTAAGACATTATCACTGAATAACTGTGGATGCTGACACCAATTTTAGGGAATGGCACCAAATCTATATCAAAACTTTAATTTCAAGACTTTGATTTGTTCTTCTGCTTATTGAGGAATGTTTCGTCCTCGTATTCACCAGTACAGTGATTACTAGTTTGACCAAGTTAGAGTGTTGGATGGCCACCATCAACACACAAAGTTATATATCCAAATGCAACTTCTTGATACCTGTAATTTTATAAAGAAGTCTCACTTGAACTCACTTCTAAATGGCAAACTGCATATAGTTTACCAATTCTCTATGAATTAATTATGTGTATCAAGTAACTGCTTGGAACGGTCCTGGATATACACTGCCCATTTTTTAGCTCGTTTTCCTTTTCGTTGTTTGGATTTTTGTACTTAAAATTGAGGATGTATAGTTGATGTAATTGCTTATTGATTTAATAAAAATATGAAATGATTTTCTCACTCTTCTTTTTACTTCTGCACACAAAAGGCATGACAAGAAAATGACTGTGTGGAAATCACTTTCCCTTTTCTTAAGAAATGTTTCTGTCATCGTTTAGCTACTTTGTATTGAACGGCTATGTTGCTGAAGTTTGGTAGGAAGAAGGACCCCAATAGCTCACTAGCTTCCTCCACTATTGATCTTGATCCTATAGGGAGTTTTAACGAAAAGTCTACGGTACTGTTCACTTTAACGAAAAACCACATTTTTACACTAAAAAGTCAATCTTGGTATTATTCATTTTACCATTTATTTTGTCCTTATCATTAAAACTCAAAGTTTTCAAACCATTTTCATTAGTTTTCCTTTATTTATAATGAATTTGCTTTGAACAAAAAATTATAAGGTAGTGCTACTCACATTTATTTTTGAGGTATTCATTAATTTTCCCCCTGAACTTGTGACCATTAGCCAATTTCCCCCCTCAACTCTTATAACTAGTCAATTTGCACCCTACTGTTAATTTTTTAATTTGATCATAATTAAACAAGTGTGTGTAAGAAACTAAATAAGATGTATGTTAATCATGTTCCTATATCTTTATCCTATTACAAATAGATTAAAATTTAGAATTTTACAATTTATCATAGATAGTATTATTAGTCATGATAAATCAGTATGGAGTAATTTTATTTGATTTTTGACTATACAAAATTGATAACGAAAATGATTGATGTGTAAATTTTTGTATGTGAATACAATTTTCTTTATAAAAGTGAAAGCTAAGTTCAAGTAAATTGCAGAAAATTGAGCTTTAGTGAAATAATGGCTAGTCTATTCTTAATTTTCGACTCCTTATTAAGAATAACCCATTTTATTGAAATAGGTATGATCCATGAGTTTATGATTGTTATTTCTTTTTGTTATTATTTCTTCTTCTGCATGCTTTAAACCCAATTCATAAATTTTTCTTATAATCAACCCATATCACATACTAATTGTATTATGTTTTTGTACATTTTACCCTATATTATGTATGTGAGTTTATGTTAATTTTAGTACTTTGTTGGAAGTTATTAGAAAGATTGAAAATTAAGAAAAGAATAGATGGAAAATTAAAAATAAAAAAAGTTAACAGTAGGGTGCAAATTGACTAATTTTGAGAGTTGAGGAGGGAAATTGGCCAAATTAAAGTTGAGGGGGGAAATTGACTAATTATGAGAGTTGAGGGGGGAAATTGGCCAAAATTAAAGTTGAGGGGGAAAATTGGCCAATGATCACAAGTTCAGGGGAGAAATTGATGAATACCTCTTTATTTTTACTCCCAACATAACCTTAATAATTTTTTGACATTAATCTTCTTCCATTTATTCAATTCGGCAATAAAAAATTGAGAGGAGTGTGTAAGAAGTAAAAATGAGTGTATGAATAGCACTATCCAAAATAAATTGCTTTATAAAGGGGTTGCCTATTGAACTGGGACAAGAGGAAAAACTTGAAAATCAAATTAATAATTTCCCAACTATTGAAAATTTGCAACCCAATTTGACCAAATTCAAATAGAATGGGGATCACCATTTTACCAAACAAATTAAACCATTCATAAATTTCGTGGCTGCATATTTACATTACCAGCACACTTGCATCGGGCACAGATCAACTCTCTACCGACTGATTAAATGCATGCATGCGAGCATACTCCTCGCATTGATTGATGATCCACCCTAGAACCCTAACCCTTCAAAATGTCAAACCTTTCTTTAGTTGGGGGTTTGGGAAATGGGGAATGATGGTTTTTATTTGGTTCACCGGTCCACGCCCTAATAAAACGAAAGAAAAAGAAAGATGCTATAGTTTGGTCCTTGGTATTGCTAATGTATGATAATTGTATATGGAGGATAGGAGAATGTATTGGATAGTGCTGCATGAATAGTACAACTCTAATTTCAAGTGGGGGATCCGTTTGCATAGTTGAATATTGAATGAAACCAAAATATACAGAACTTATGTTTTTATGAAAAATGTCTTATTAGTGACATAGTCGAGACACCATTCCACAAGCCTTTTCTTTGAGGAAAGGGGTGACTTGGTCAGCTGGTCCAATACACCAAGGATTTGGAACACGCAAGGAGGCAAAGTCCAAAAGGTCTCAAAGAACATTTGGTGCAAGAATGTCAAAAGTCTACCTAGCCATGGCAAAGCACAAGTTTGAAGCTTTCTTTTGGGTCAGTCATATTAGTTGCTTGACCATGACATGATGGTTACAGGTTTTTTCTAGGTGGTGAGTGGGGAAGGCCTCCATTTCCTCACGCTATTTGCCACTTTCTTCCCACACTATTTGCCACCCCACATTCTCCGCCACTATCATTCTATAATTCTCTTAATTATTAAATTTAATTTTTCAGTTACAAAAACTCCTTATAAATCAATTGTTTAATTATCCAGCCTTCATAAGATTCTAATTAAAAAATTGATAATAGAATAAGATACAAGTTAAGAGAGAATATCAGTATGTTTAATTGTGGACCATTAATCCATCTATATCTAAATTTTTAACAACTTCTACTAACAACATCGGATAGTTATCTAACATTCATACTCATGACTCATCCCATATCTAATATATATTTCTTGTCCGACCCCTACGTTGCAGCCCCTCTGACAAATAGCCAAATCCCACATGCCAAAATAGTAGAAATCGTTTCTAATTGTCCTAACCAAATGAAGGTTCTTACTCAAATTGAAAATTTGAAAAAAAAAAAAAATTAGAATCCAGGTATATAAAAAAGCAGAAACCAATCATGTCCTTTTCAGTAATTCAATCAATAGTGGCCAAGGAAGGTGATGAATGATTAATTTTTTTTTTAATATATATAAATGATATCCAGGTCCACGTTGAACCCAACTTCTTCCCAACGCAAACAACCAAAAACCTTTATTTCTTCCTCATATACCTATAAATACAAAAACTCAGACCTCTTTCTGTTTCATCAAAAACACACCACCTCTCATATCTCATCTTTTTTCTCTCTCTCTAAGCCCCAAAATTTATATGGCATCAAGAAAATTGGCAGATGCAGCCTCATGGTACTGCGCCACTGCCCTACTAGCCTTGATCTTGTTTGCTTCCATCAGAGAGAACAGCTCTACGCCAGACAACAACGACTTGGTTCGAGGGAAACACTTCAATGACTTCATGACCAACCGGCCGTGTGATGAAATATATGTCGTCGGAGAAGGTGAGACGCTCCATACCATCAGTGACAAGTGCGGCGACCCATACATCGTGGAGCGCAACCCTCATATCCATGATCCGGACGATGTTTTCCCTGGACTAGTCATCAAGATCACTCCTACTGAACGATCATCAGCGGTGTAGATGTATCATCAATTTAAATTGAAGCTTTCAATTTGATCATCAGGTAGCATGGTAGCAGCTTCGAAGTTGTAACATATATAGAGAATCATAAATTTCATTTCCTAGGGAAGTTTAAATTTTATGTTTTCTTCTTAAATTTCAAATAAGCAAAACACCCAATACTCTTGTGTTTCTTTTGCGGCTAAGTACGTTAGAGGCTCTGAGATTTTTACTCTCACAGATTTCCTACGAGCCCAGCTAGCCTGTATATTATGTATCATGAACAAGAAAAAATGTCAAGGAAATTGAAACTGTTTACATTTAGTTCTTTTGTTCTTTGCATTAATAAGGAAATCTCATGTCATAAATTGAATTCTTAAATTGTATTAATTTTGATTAATAATATGCATTAATTGACGATCTTTTGTTTTCTTCCTGTTATTTCCTGTCTTTGGCTATTTCTGCCTGGGACGACAGGTCCTTGAGTAATCATTCGGTGAAGGAAGAAGAACAAATCTTATGAATAACAGAAAATTAATTTAAACAATTGAAAAAATTAATTGTTAGGTGAGTAAGGTAACGCCGAAAAGGATATGACGTGCAGGTGAGAAAGACGAGAGCAAAGGCTTTAGCCGCCATCAGCTCTTTATCTCAATCGAGAAAGAATTCAACCGTTTTAACGCACATTTTAAAAATAAGAAATATTAATATGTGCAATTTAGCATTTTTACGTGTTTGTAATTACATATTTGAAGTATGTTTTTGGATTTAGACGTAGAGCCATAACTATATTTTGGTAGAGAACTGCAAAGGGGTCTCTTAAAAGTAAGATTCTTCACTTTTTACCATTTGCATATATTGGCACGTGAATTGATATTAAACTGTGATATGGTAGAGGTTTCTACTTTTGAGGTAGTCCCCTTAACATTTCTCATTTTGGTATGGTTTGACAAAGTTTAAGACACACCTTCACTAATCCAAATCAATAATGTTTCTATCTTAAGCATTTGCAAAATTCATTAAGAGTAAAGCCTTATAGAAGGTCTCCATACAATTAGTAATAAACCCATTTAATATAAAGAGTAAATTGTAGCAATTGTCCCTCAACTTTAATCAAATTGGAGCAATGGTCCCTCAACTAAAAATCCATTATCATTGGTCCCTCAACTTATCAAAATGTGTAGCTATGGTCATTTTCATCAATTTCGTCAAAATTTTGTCAAAATAAGTTATGTTGGAATAACCATTTATATAATAAGGGTACCTCAACTCATCAAAGTGTGAAATTATGGTCATTTTCGTCAACTATGTCAAAATTTTTGTCAAAACGAGTTATGTTGGAAGAACTATTGCTACAACTGGGTTAGAGTTAATGGACCATTTCTCCAGTTGAATTAAAGTTGAGAGACCAATTGTAATGTATTTTTAGTTGAGAGACCATAGTTACACGTTTTGATAAGTTGAGGGACCATTACTCCAATTGAGTTAAAGTTAAGATATCATAACTACAATTTACTCTAATATAAATGTTACTTACTTCATAAGGTTTCAACACGGTTTACCAATTTTTTGATTTTGGGTTTTACATATTTGGTACAATTCAATATAAAACAATTTAACTTCATTAGGTGTCAATTGCGAGAGATGCTTCAACATGCATGTCACAGACTCAAATAAGAAGCCAATCGACCTTAACTGTGAATTGACATGTCCGCCGCCGACCAGATTGACAGGATTATTTCACATTGGAAAAATGTTTCTCTCATTATCTTTCTAAAAAAAATTCTTTTAATTATGTAATTATGAGATTAAAACGACGGAAACTATTCATGAACGCGTTAAATTAATTGTGTCGTATATGAATGGAAACCTCGACATTTATAAAGTTGACCACCTTTACTACAATGCAGTTATACCTTTGCAAACTACCAACTATATCCACAGAAAATATAAGAGACTTTCAAGCACAAATATTTATTCAAAAGAGGCAACTGCAAATAATAAAAAATAACATCAAAGAAATAACATTTACATGCATAATGCAAAATATATTCTTTGGTTGCTCTGCGGGTGGTCCAAGCTCTTGGAAGTTGGCATGGTGGCTCTTCGCTTTCGATTTGCTGATTGAAAGACATTAAAACTAGCCTAGGGGGTTTTGATGCTTCAAAAGTTTCTCATGTTTTGTAGATCTGCTAATATAGCGGCGCATAGAATGTTCAAGTTGACCTCAACTTTCAACTTTACTAATTATTGGTTCAAGGAAGCCCTGAAGTTACTCCAAATTGTCTTCCTTCAAGATTGTATGCTTTCTCAACGTTATAAGTATCGTTTCTTCAAAAAAAAAAAAAAAAACTATCCTTTGGTTGCTTGCTAATTGCTTCCTTCTCTGCAATTGAGCATACGTTATCGTATGTACGTGTTAAACGTGGATTGTTTCGTGGGGATATTGCATACGCTATAATTCGTTTTATTTGGCGATGGGGTTGTGGAATGTGATTTTGAAGTAATCCTCTTATCTAGTTTTGGTAGGTGTTCATGTTACATGTTTGATGACCTAATCCCTCCCAACAAAACCGGCGACGTGCTATGTACTTGAAACATCCACGTACACTATGGATAAAGTTGACTTGGCTTAAGCCTAAAAAACAAAATACCATAACCAAATATATACACTAATAAACAAGCAAATCAAATAAAAAAAAATAAGAGAAAATAAATTTGGTATGATCTCAACCTAAAATACCCTGGCGCTTATTTCTAGCATTATTTAGGGGTGTATTCAATTGGGATTTTGAGGGATTTTAATTCTTTTAATGAATTTAGGTATTCAATCAGGATTTTAAATGATTCTTTGAAATTCAAGGTGTATTCAATTAGAATTTTAAGATAGTTTATTAAAATCCTTAGAAATCCATGTGTATTCAATTAGGATTTTAAAGAAGTTTATAACATCCCAGGTGTATTCAATTAGAAATTGATTTTAAAGAATTTGAGAAAATTGAGGAATTAGAAGGAATTGGGGAGATTTCGTAGTGTATTTTAAGTATCCACAAATTTCACCTCTCCCCATGAGATTTCGAGGGAATTGAATAAAATTTTATATAGAATCTCTACAATTCAATTAAACTCCATAAAAATCCATGGATTTATAAATCCATTAAAGTCTCTCAAATTCTCAATTGAATACGCCCTCCTTAGTAAGAAAAGTTAAAAGTGCTTCTTGTTAGTGAAGTAACTCATAAATAGTTTCTTAAAATGCATCTGAATTCTTAGAGTAGATATAGAGCTGGGTTGGGTTTTCTAATTTTTTTATTTTTTATTTTTAGGAAACTGTTATTAGCACTTCACAAATCTCATTCTACACTCCTCACAAGTGTTTTTTTTCTTTCTAATTATAGAAAGGTTGTAGTGCAAAATGAGTTTTTTGGAGCGCCAATAACAATTTTTTTTTTTTTAAAGTAGCTTTTTAGAAAAGTTGGGGCCTTAATTGTGTTGGTAAATGAATTTTTTTTCTTTTCAAAATTATGGATCCAAAACAGCATAAAGTAGAAGCAGCTCTACATATGCTTCTCACAAAACGTTTTTTTTTCATTGGAGTCAGGTGAACTATATGTGTTGGAGCTGATATCCAACCATCAAGGAATGAAACCTGTGCAAGGCAAAAACATGCAAACACCGTGAGTCCAAGCACCGAGAAGGGTGGTTTATGGCGTAGAGGCTCAGATGCTTAAGTTAGCAGTGGTAGAAAGAAGGGTGAAATGTATTTATGGGTTATAAGTGTCTTACCTCTGCATGGGAGTCATAAGGTGTATCTATAGGCCTTGCAGAGTCGGTCCATATCACCCGACATTCCTCTCAGTGGCCGAGAATAAAGGAGGCCACGCCACGTCAAAGAAGGACCGTTTGTCTCTTCTCCATCGTGAGTGGAAGGAGCGGCTACGCCATACTCCATAGCTTAACACTTCACGTGGCTGGAAGGTACTATGCAGTTTAGTTTGTGCAATCTAGTACCTGGATGGAGACAGCTGGCCGAGTTCGTACTCTGGAGTGGACCGACTCACTTTGGCGGTTACGTCGGTTAGATTCGATCATATTGGGAACCACCTGGTTAGATCAATCCCCCTTAGGGGGTAGGCTTGGCCTTCTATTCACTCCGGGTCTTGCCCCAGGGAGTGTGCGTATATTATCCTTACTCCAAAAAGGTGGTATTTTTGGGTCTTACCATACCAATTAATGAAACTTCCATATTGACAATCTCTACCCCCATCTTTTTCTTACTAAAAACACTTTTAGCACTACAGTTTACGAAACACTTATATATTTTTTTCACACCTGTGTATTCTCACAACACAACATAATCAATTAAAAAAAAAAAAAAACACAATAACCCCAGCTTGCCCATAATACGTTGGGAAAGGGCTAGAGGCTAGAGGCTAGAGGCAAAATCTAGCCCCTCAAAACAATGATAGTACTATATATTTTTGGGGTTTTTTGAAATGGGTCCAAAGTAACTAAAAATTGGACTTATTTCAAAAGGTAGTTTATAAAATTAGACCTATTTCAAATTATCCCTATATTTTTTGTTCTAGTAGGGGAGGGCTAGAGGTTTGGATTCTAAATACTAAGTGGGTCCACGTTGTTCAAGGTTTGGAGAAATTTTTCAGTGTATGAGGAACACAAGCTGATATACCAAGTATAATATTACAATTGGTTGGAAATTAAAAAAAAAAATTCCAACCAATTGTATTGTTGCACTTGATGTATAAGACACAATGGTCCCAAAATCTGTCCAAAACTTGAACTGGAGCAAGTTTGGCCTCACAAAGTGCTTAGGCTTCCGTTTGACTAGGCAAATTTTGTTGCGTGAATCCTCTGCATTTGAAGATTTAGATCAATTTTATATGTTGTACAGTTATATTCACCAATCAACCTAATTAGAATAATATGAAATGGAAGTCCATTGACTATTACGCTCTCCATTTTCTCTGTTATTGTATACACGTTACTTACGTACGTAGACA